ACGACTGTGCATTATTACTTTGATAAAAATAGAGAATTAGAAAAATAATTCAAGAAAAGTCCTATGCCATTTTAAGCCCTATACTAGGTATGACTTTTTTTGTTGTTGTTTTGCATCGTTTCATTACCATGTTGCTGTGTCATGGTTAATGTTCATTTAACAAATAATGAATGGTAGGCCATGTGCTAAATGTTTAACATACCGTATTTACAGAATTTTGTGAATGAAAAATATTAAGGAAGCATTTTTATCTGGAAGTTGCTCTACTTAACAGGTTGCTCCTTTGATTTAGTACCTTAGAATTAGCATAGATTATTAAAACTAGAAAATATTTCTATTATTTTATAGAAGAAATTAAGGAACTTGTTCTAGTTGGAAAACCAGATTTTTAGTTCAGCATTCGTTCCACTGAGGTCAGTTGTAATTTATGATGAATATTGTGAAATTTGATTCCTTTTTAAAATGTACTTTTGGTATTTTGGGCAATTTTTTCTACTTTTTGTTTTGAGATGATTTTACCATCTTCAAGTGACTTTCTACCTGTTTGTACAGTTGTGCCTTTTCCTATGACACGGGCTCTGTGCCTTGGAAATGTCCTCTTCCTCCATGCTTTCTGCCTGTTTATAAAATCCAATAGAATTTCCTGGATAAAATATGACTTCCTTCTTGAGTGATTGAATTTTACTTTGATTTTGGTCTCTTGGAGTTAAACCTAATAGAGTTTTTTCTAGAGACTATTCTTACATGTCAGTGGTTCTTTATACTGTATATAATTCTTGAAGTTGGGATGTTATAAAAAAAATAGCTTTAGATAAATGGCTTAGATAAATGTTCCATTTGTTGAACAGTTATGTTGCTCTATATACTATATTCATTCTTTTGTTTGATAATTTACTAATTGAACAACTTAAGGCCAAAACCGTATCTCTGTTAGATATGCTCCATTGTTTATAGGGTGGTGCTTAGAATGCTAGCTTTATTTTCAGATTCTGGTCCCATCCAATTAATTATATGGTTTTGTAAGTTTCTTGCTTTCTTGGTGATTTTATTCATTTGTAAAATTTATCATAATTGTTCTCTATGTAAATAACACATACAAGAGTGGTTAAGATACAGCTTGGCACATATTGAACACTTAAATATTTGTTGAATGAATAATATAATCTTTTGTGATAACGTGTTGATAAAAATATACAGATAGTGATTAATATATTATATACCCTGAAATTAGAAATTGAATATATTAGTAGTGTTTTATTTAATGAGTTTCAGTAAGCTGATAATTGAAACTCCTTAGAACATTTTTTTATTTCCTGTCAATTGTTTTGTTTGTATTTTAAGATTCTTCATTAGTTATTTGCTCTCTTAAAAAATCAGTTTGGTATATAAAGTATAAACTATGTAATGAGGAATATGTTTTATTTTGTCTATAAAACAAATCACTTATAAGTAAATTTAAGATAAAAATATTTGTTGAATGCCACAGACTATTAACCACTGAAGCCTAATGAATTACTTTGGAAAAGTTATTGAAGTGATGGTTGGACTATTGTGTGTAAAAATAATTCACTCCTAGAAATAGAATTAGTATTGGAGTTTTGTTATTCCTAACCTTTTCTCTAAGATATGGGGCTGAGGAATTAGTTACTGTACTAAATTTGCATCACTTATTTCTTGACAGTTTCCATTTCTTGAGTGATTCTTTACCACTTTTATGATATAATCCTCTTTATTATTATTCCCATCCTATTTTTCTGAGATTAAGCTTATTCTAAGGTCTGTTAGTGTCTCATGAAATGACTTCTATAATAATGGCTTAAATTATTTCCTCTGACTTTTGCTCATATGTGAGTTTCTTTGGTCTAGAATGTTCTGTTTCTAGTGCATCCTGTAATTTTGGGTAGTAAGTGCACTGGTTTAGTCACATTTCTCTCAAAAAGGCATGTACTTCTTGGTTCTGCCTCTTGGTCAAGTGACACTCAGCCCTGGAAGGAACCCCGATTTAGCTCTCCAAGCCTCCCAGGATCATAAAATTTGCTGGTTGAAGAGTTAAAAAGGGGATCGCCTGTTTTATTGACAAGAGTAATGACAGGACTAATTAGTGGAAGGAACTTTTAAATACATTAATGTTAAAAATTGATTCACTTCCTCACTACTGACTTTTTACCAATAACCTCATCTAGGAAGATTTTCTTATTCCAGGGAGCCACTTGTCACTTTGGTTTTTACTGTCTATAACCTGTATTGAGTCTTTTTTATAATTTAATTTTTTTAACAAAAAAAATGTACACCTGTGCCATATACCATAAGTATTTTTAGCCTTTGTTCTGTATGGTATTAAAAATGAATAACTGGTGTGCATAATACCTGATTCAGCCGTGATCATTTTGGTAAGACATGAAGCAGAATCCAATGTCTTTTAATTGGGCTAAAATCTGCATGGCTACTGCTGACAGCACGTGAAAAGACAGAGTTATTCTGTACCTGTTGTTTCCTTCACAGAGAGCTAGTGGCATCTGACAAAGAACCATGACCTGGCTGAACTCCAGGATGGAAGTAATGCACAAGTCACTTAATAAAAGCCAACACTGTAAATCGTACGTAATGGCTATATGCAAATTAGTGATCAAAGTTAATCATTTTAGAAGGGAAGAGTGTACAGTTCGCTTCATGTGGCTGTGTAACCACTAATGCAGTAGCTGTTAAGCAGCTTTCTGAATCCTTGGAATGCCAGTGTGCTAGTAAGACAGTCCTCATGAGCACTCCCACATTGGCTCAAGTGACGGAGGGGTCATAAGAGCTAGAATCACGTTTCTCTCTCATCTCCCCCCGTCCTCATTCCAGTCAGGCTTTTCTGAGCCCCTGCTCCCACGTTTCTGCCACACTTCATCACAGAGATCTGGTCTTAAATGTTCCGAGTAGCTTTCTTTTTTTCTTTTTCTTTTTTTGATTGTAAGTGCTGTGTTTTCAGAGCTGGCACTGTTTTGGAGATCCTCTGTGGAATCTCACTTGGAGAAGAAAAGTGAGAGCGCTTCATTTTACATTGTAGCTCCTTAGTTCAGATGCAGGCAGTGGTGTTGGTTCCCACAGTAGAAACACTGTGTCGGCGTTGTTTGATACTGCTGCTCAGAATCTACTCTTGGTCTACTTTTTTCTTAAAGTTAGGGATGACTGAGTCAGTTTGAGATTTAGAAACTCAGACAACTTTTTTGTGCCTGTCTTACCATTGTACCCCCATCAAAAAAAAAAACCCTAAAGTCCAGTGTTCCATAGATGTAGTTTTAAAGTGTCATCCATGATATGTAAAAATGGCATTCAAGTAATAAGTTACAGTGGTATGATTTTGTATAACTCTGGGAAAGAGTTTTTCCTCAAGTTTGTTTCAGTACTGTTAAAACTGTATTGGTGATATCCAGCAGCAGAAAACTCTTATAACATGAGCCTTCAATTCAGAAGCAACATTTAGTTTCAGTTGACTTTAGTGTTTGGGTGTGGCCTTTCTGTTGCTTCGGGCTTGGCCCAGCAGCTTTCCAGATGTAAGCCACACTTTTGATAGTTGCCACTTTTATAATGTATAAGGTTCTGGGGCTTCATTAGATAATTTAACTGTAATCCTAAGTTTAACTTCCCTTGAGCTTCAGACCTTTTTAAAATATATTTTTTAATTTAAGCATATTTTTCATTAAATTTAAAGATTTAAAATGTTTTTATTTCCTTTAAGATAATATTCATATAATCACTGCATTTTGTTTAGGCACTTTTTATTCAGATAAACAAGAAAGTTCTTGAGTTAAAGGTGTATTTTCTAAGCCATTTTTTACTTCTTCAGTATCTATTTGTTGATTTTACTCCCAAAACAAATCTATGAGGTGTTAGTATTTTAAAATTTCTAAAATAATTTTATTCTCTAATATTTTTTATTACAGAAAGATTTTTAAATTACTTAACATCAAGTAAAATTGATAGTCCAAGAAGGTATCGATCATGTTTGTTTTTTGTGGCTCTTTAATACTCTTAGGTGCACCTTGTACAAATCCCTCACTTGGAGAGGCATTGGCTCATTGGATCAAGTGGACATTTCTTGGTACAAAATGAGTGGGAAAAAAAACTTAAATATTAACCCAACTCAAAAAAATAGCTTCACATGAGGGACATGATTGTTGTATTGCTCGAAAAGTTTCTACAGCTCTTCTCTCAACCCCTGTACTCCTCCCCTTTTTGGATGAGCTCTCATCTGCAGAGGACACAGGGTAGCCCTGCTCTAGGCCATAATGACTTACTTGTGTCTGGGACTGTAGTTTTCATACTCGATGTCTTAAACATTTTATTTCCCCTCTCTAAAATGATTGCATACCCTTGTTTTCTAACTGCTGCATTTCCTCTGTAACTTCTTGACAAGTCAGACACCCTGTCTCCAGGGAAGCCTGTCTTAACAATGACCATCTGCAATAGAGCCAGATATTTCTTTTGTGCTTCTAAAGCCTCTTACAGAGCTGCACTCTTAATGGTGTACTTACTTCTTTTCTTATTAGACTGGACTCTGAGGGCAGGGAGGGACTTTATATCCCCTCTGGTCAAGTAGAGTGCCTAGCATCCAACAAATATCACGAAAGTGAAAGTTGCTCAGTTGTGTCGGACTCTCCAGGCCAGAATACTGGAGTGGGTACCCTTTCCCTTCTCCAGGGGATCTGCCCAACCCAGGGATTGAACCCAGGTCTCCCTCATTACAGGGGATTCTTTACCAGCTGAGCCACAAGGGAAGCCCAAGTATCAGGAAATGCTTGCTTAAATGAATGGATGAGTGGACAGAAAGGCTCTTGCTAATTAGTGTTTGATGTAATCTAGCTTTACCATTATGACTTGTGATCCCAAAGCATTCAACTAATGACAACCACCTGACCCCTGCTTTCTAGCCATGCTTCCAGTCCAGGGTGGTATGGTGTAGATTACTGTGGCAGTTGTTTTTACTAGTCCCTAATGTTGTAACTTATTTCTTTCAGGAATTGTTGGATAAGTATTTAATAGCCAATGCAACTAATCCAGAGAGTAAGGTCTTCTATCTGAAAATGAAGGGAGATTACTTCCGGTACCTTGCTGAAGTTGCTTGTGGTGATGATCGGAAGCGTAAGTGTATTCGGTTTATGGGTAAAGCTAAAATAGAAAAGGAAGGGAGAGCAAGTTTGTAATGTTATCTTGTGTTTTAAAAAATGAAAATACAGTCATGAATTTACATTATGTGCTCTTTATGGAAAAATTCATAAACTGATTATAATCTGATAAGATGTTATTAAAAACAAACATAATCTTTCAGGCTTTAGAATTTGGTTCATCATATTTTTAGCCCCAGAGTTCTTTACATATGCTTTGGGTGATTCTGTTATGTTATGTCATCTTCAGCATCTTGTATCTTCAAACTTAAGATAACTGAAAATTACATACATACTATAAAAACAGGACATTGTATTACTTCTGCTTGACATATTAATTTATTAACTCTACTGCCTGTTTTGAGGGATCATAACACTGACTAATTACACATAACCAGATACAGAGGAGAAATGAGATGAAAGTATTACTGCTGGTATATGATTTATCACAGAAAGCAGAGAAATGGGGAAAAGAGGAACCAAATTTCCTAACTTGACTTTAAAAAGTTGAAGTGAATTTATTAGTAGTGAACACAGTCTCTGGAGTATTGGTAGTTGAGTATACTGTAGTATGTTGTGTATGTGTCTGCTGCTAAATTTATCAAGGAAGTTTTAGGTACAAGTATCACATAACTCATTTTTTTTCGAGTAGTTTATTTTGTTCCTAATTTTACCCCATCCAAAAAAGGCATGCCTCTGCTAAATGTTAGTTATGTCCTCCTCTCCTCTTTTCTACAGAGAGTTACTAAGTAAATGTGAGTTTTACTATCCCCTATATCAATGTAGTTGAAGATAGGAAGAGAAAACTTTTGTACTTTGCTGTAACAAGAGTCTGTATACTTAAACTGTTGTGTTACCAATGTATAATTTCTGTTGCCACAAAGATAAGCAAACTGGGATGTGACAGATGTTGGCACAGACTGAACATATATAACTGTCAGCTTGTCAAGGGATATCTTCAGGAGGCTGGACCAGGGCCCTAGCATTAACTGATCTAACCCTTGCTGGTTTATTGGGATTTTTCTGGTCCTAAACGTAGAATACTCCAGTAGTCTGGGACTTGTAAATAGTCTGTATTTACAGTCTGGAAACTGAGACACTTCAGTGCTCTCATTGCAGCACCTCCTTGTGTGCCAGAGAGCAAGTTCCTTAGTTCAGTGTGAGGGCTATACCAGCTATGTTTAGATAGTAAATATGCCATTTCAGAGGAGGAAAAAAAGCACATATTCAGGCTCTAAAGGGATAACTTAACATCTGTTAGGTCAGGCTTTTTAGAGCTTGTAATGGGCCTGGTGGTCTCATTCAGAAAACCGAACCTTTTCCAGATATGACATAATCAGATTAGTGTTGGTAGTACTTCCTGAACATTTTTTTCAGGAAGGTGACATTTTTATTAGGCCAGTCAGTAAACTCAGATCAAATTGTGATCTATATACTGGCACTTTTATATTGCCTTTCACATTAATATATCTTGATACCAAGGATCAGTATTGTTTTTACAGATAAGTCGATAAGTCACAAAAATAGAGGCTCTTATGTTGTTGTTGATGTTGTTTTAAATTAAGCTGAGTATAAGCAAGCAGCCTTATAAACTAGTTTTTTATTAATAATCTGGTACAGGATAATGTTTTGGGTTTGCTACTGTGGTTTCAAAAGAAAACTGCAGAGGGAAGACTGGTTCTACCAACTTAATAGCGTGTGTTAAAGGTGTGACTGTATACTAGATGGCATATTTTCAGTACCATGCTTTTTTTTTTTTTTTTTTTCTTTTTTTTCCCTTCACAGAAACGATAGATAATTCCCAAGGAGCTTACCAAGAGGCTTTCGATATAAGCAAGAAAGAGATGCAACCCACACACCCCATCCGGCTGGGGCTGGCTCTTAACTTTTCTGTGTTCTACTATGAGATCCTCAATAACCCGGAACTGGCCTGCACACTGGCTAAAACGGTAAGACGTGTGTCCAGAAATACCTTCCTTAGGTTATTTGAGATAGCAAGTGTGTTAATTTCTAGGCATTTTACTTGAATAGCCAGGTATGATTTCTCCTACGTTTATTTGTTTCTCCTATTTTCTTACCATCATGAGCACCTACCACTACCTTACTCTCCCAGCTTTGGTTGTAAGCAGTAAGATCTATCTAAAGAGCATATTGGTCAGAGTAATCAAAAAAGTATGAAAGAAATGTAGAGGGTCAGAAAGTAATGCCTACCAGGTGTGATTACTAGAATCTCTGCACTCCTCAAAGTGTTTTAAAATGGACGCATTCAAAGGGGTTTTGGGAAATAAATACTAGTTCTTATTCGTAAGAAATATATTGGGCATAGCTACTGTGCTGTCTGTCCTATGAAAGAACTAAGAAATGCTTGTGTAACTAAGTATATATATCTTTGTAAATTTCAAGTCATCCTCAAAAATTCGTAAGTTGAGAATCTGAGGAAGTAATTTTAGTTTTGTTTTTAATGGATAATAGAAAGTAAGGTGGCTGTTCATACATTACATAAAAATGGTCTGTGATCGTAGAGGATCAGTGTGTGCTGATGTTAAGTATTGTTCATTGTGGATGTTGATGTTTGTCAGGCTTTTGATGAGGCTATTGCAGAACTTGACACACTGAATGAAGACTCGTACAAAGACAGCACCCTCATCATGCAGCTGCTGAGAGACAACCTCACAGTGAGCACCCCTTCCTCTCGTTCGTCTTTCCTGTTCAGGGCCAAAGTGCCAGTATCTGTTCAGGCTCTCCGTCTTCCAGGGCAGCTACACTGGAGCTACACCTGGTCTTAGAAAACAGATGTATAAAAATTACACAGAAATGTTAAATACACATTAGTATTTTGTATAGGGTAACTCTTCTTTTGTTGGCAGATTTTGTAGGCAGTTGAATAGGCATTTTATCCAGACCTTCCTAAGAAAATACACTAAGATTTTAGGAACTCATAATGTTAACATTATTGACTGTTACACTTTGGTATGAAGATGTTGATAAATTATGTTAATATGGAGAGTTTGTCTGTTTTAATTTGTTTTTTTCTTTATAGTTTTTCACCCTACCTCTTATATAGAAAGGGCATCAAGGAAAAAGTAATGGAGAAAAAAGTACAGGTTGAGTTTTACTTAACTTTTGTAGGTTCACGAAAATTTGGTGTGTCAAAATCAAATTTGGTAGACAAAATGTGGAAGAAGGAATTCACCTTTTAATGTAGTTCTCCTGTGGCCCCTCCCCTCACCCCAGTTTTGATGCTTTTTCTTCTGCTAGATAAAAAAATTTTTTGGCCTTATTACTTTCATGAATTATATTTCAGTAATACTTTTTAAGAATAGCATTGAGCTGTCAGGAATTGTGAGAGCATTAAATTCTAAGGATGTTAGTTACCTTCTTTTTGACTGAGATTACAGTAAGCTTTAAAAATGTACTCAGAGTATATCACTTTGCAGATGTACAGTGAAAGGTCTCCTAGAATACACCTTGGGAGGAGTTGATGTTATTTGGGGTTTTGAGAAATATAACTTCCAATCTTAGTCATAGTCTCTATTTGAATAATTTACTGCTCTCACAATTACATTTTAATATAATTGGACCTGAAATAATTGTCACCTAGAAATAGTAACTTAATGTGATTTTTTTTTTTTTTTTCTTTCCAGTTATGGACATCAGACAGTGCAGGAGAAGAATGTGATGCGGCAGAAGGGGCAGAAAACTAAGTGCATACAGGGTGTCATCTTTCTTCCCCTTGAAACCTTTTTACTCATCTCCATTCCTTATTCCATTTGGATTTCCTATAGCAAAGAAACCCATTCATGTGTATGGAATCAGCTGTTTATAGTCTTTTCACACTGCAGCTTTGGGAAAACTCCATTCCTTGATTTGTGTTTGTCTTAGCCTTCCTGGTGTGCAGTTACTGCTGTAGAAAAGTATTAATAGCTTCATTTCATACAAACATAAGTAACTTCCAAACACTTATGTAGAAGACTAAAAATGTATCTGGTATTTAAGTAATCTGAACCAGTTCTGCAAGTGACTGTGTTTTGTATTACTGTGAAGATATGAAAATGTAGCTAATTACAATTTAAAGAGTGTTCTACATAACTTCTTAATTTCTACATTCCCTCCCCTTACTCTTCTTCAGAGATTTCCTTTGAGTAAGCAACTTTTCCATCCTCTTAATGTATTCCTTTTTAGTAGGAATCCAGAAGTATTAGATTGAATGGAAAAGCATTTGACATTTTGGGGCTGGGGGGATCACAGATTAAAATGCCTCCTGTATCATATATACGTGATGGAGGACTTGTGTATCTGTGACAACAGGGAGTTTCCTTATTCATTCTTCATTTGCTGCTGTTTGAGTTGACAACTTCCCTTCCCAATAAAAACTCACTTACACCTCCTGCCTTTGTAGTTCTGGTATTCACTTTACTATGTAATAGAAGTAGCATGTTGCTGCCAGAATACAAGCATTGCTTTTGGCAAATTAAAGTGCATGTCATTTCTTAATACATTAGAAAGGGGGAAAAAGCACACAGTCCAGTCTAAAACATTAGTACTTTTCCATGCAGATTTGTGCACATGTGAGGGTGTCCAGTTTGTCTAGTGATTGTCATTTAGAGAGTTGGACCACTATTGTATGTTGCTAATCATTGACTGTAGTCCCAAAAAAGCCTTGTGAAAATGTTATGCCCTATGTAACATCAGAGTAACATAAAATAAAATTACATTTTATAAACCATTTACTCTGGCTTTGTAACAGTTGCATACTCAAATTTAAGGGACAGATGAGTGTACTGCCTTCTGAAGTTTATTGCTGCTTCCCTTTTTTCTTCTGTGAAATGGAGCGGTTCTGCCTGGTTATCTGTGTTGTGATCGCTTGTCTTGGAGAGGGAGCCTAGACAATTTAAAATTAAGTGATTGTGAGTGCCTTGGCTGGTGTTAGAATCATGCTTCAGTGGATATTCCAGCTGAATGCTAAAAGCTTAAGAGTACTTTTAGTTTTCAAATGATTCTCTTTGTAAACAGTTAATCTTGATGAATTCCAAATAATTTTGTTTTTATAATATCACCATGGCTATTATACTAGCCTGTCAAGTCAGGAAATAATCTGTGACTATGAAACAAGGTTTCATTTACACTTGATTCGCTTTCTTAGGGAAAATGAAAAGACAGAATTGAATGGGACAGTTATCAGTCCTAACCAAGTTGTAAGTACTGAATAATCACTCCACTACTTTGGTGAGTTATGAAAGTACCTTCCTTCTTAAAGAGCAGGTTAGTCCCATATTATCTCCTTGCTGCAGAAGAAGTGAAAGCTATGGTATTATCTCCAGATGTATAGAGGATATTTATAGACTACTGCAGAGAACTCAAGTTGGGATAGAGGGAGGGTTTAAAGCCACATTTGAGCTTTCTTAACTTTTATAATTACTGAGATAGTTCAGAAAATCTAAATGTTACATCTATTTTGTAGATAAAATTTTTATTTACCTATTTGGCCACGATCCATGGCATGTGGGAATCTTAGTTTCCTGACCAGGTTTGCATATACACCTGGTGCAGCGGAAGCTTAGAGTCCTAACCACTGGACTGCCAGGGTATTCCCCAGTAGTTATAACTTTTTAATTGACAGTTTTCCCTTTAAAATGTTGTTTAGGTTTTAATAACTGAAAATAATGAAGGGGGAACCTCCTTCATTATTTTCAGTTATTAAAACCTAAATGATTATCCAAAAATCAAAGCAATAGGGATTTCTCTTCCAACATTCAGCTGTGATTATTAGCGCTTAGATTAGGAAAGAACAGTACTTTTTTTGGATGGGATTGGTAGACTACATTCATGTCTATAACTTTAAATGTTGATGAGTAGAGACTGTTAGTTTTTTAAAACCATGAAAAGTAGGGAAGCACATTTTAAAGTGTGAAAATTCTAATAAGAGTAAAACAATTTGAGAAGATCAGAATTCTAGTCACTTAAATAGAGGGCAACCTTTCAAAAATATTTGAGGGCCTATTTAAGCACAAATGTAATCAGTTCAGTTCAGTTGCTCAGTCATGTCCAACTCTTTGTGACCCCATGGACTTGCAAGCACATGAGGCCTCCCTGTCCATCACCAACTCTTGGAGTTTACTCAAACTCCTGTCCATAGAGGCAGTGATGCCATCCAACCATCTCATCCCTGTTGTTCCCCTTTCTCCTGCCTTCAGTCTTTCCCAGGATCAGTTAGTTCAGTTGTGTACAACTCTTTGCGGACTCAAGAACCGCAGCACGCCAGGCCTCCCTGTCCATCACCAACTCCTGGAGTTTACCCAAACTCATGTCCTTTGAGTCGGTGATGCCATCTAACCATCTCATCTTCTGACGTCCCCTTCTCTTCCTGCCTTCAGTCTTTCCCAACATTGGGGTCTTTTCAAATGAGTCAGCTCTTTGCATCAGGTGGCCAAGATATTGGAGTTTCAGCTTCAACATCAGTCCTTTCCAATGAACACCCAGGACTAATTTCTTTTAGGATGGACTGGTTGGATCTCCTTGCTGTCCAAGGGACTCTCAAGAGTCTTCTCCAACACCACAGTTCAAAAGCATCAATTCTTTGGCACTCAGCTTTCTTTATAGTCCAGCTCTCACATCCATACATGACTACTGGGAAAACCATAGCTTTGACTAGATGGACCTTTGTTGGCAAAGTAATGTCTCTGCTTTTTAATATGATGTCTAGGTTGGTCATAACTTTTCTTCTAAGGAGCAAGTGTCTTTTAATTTCACGTCTGCAATTACCATCTGCAGTGATTTTGAAGCCCCCCAAAATAAAGTCTCTCACTGTTTCCACTCTTTCCCGATCTATCTGCCATGAAGTTTTGGGACCAGATGCTATGATCTTAGTTTTCTGAATGTTGAGCTGTAAGCCAACTTTTTCTCTCTCTTCTTTCACTTTCATCAAGAGGCTCTTTAGTTCTTCTTTGCTTTTTGCCATATGTGTGTCATCTGCATATCTGAGGTTATTGATATTTCTCCTGGCAATCTTGATTCCAGCTGTGCTTCATCCAGTCCAGCATTTCACATGATATACTCTGCATATAAGTTAAATAATCAGGGTGACAATATACAGCCTTGATGTACTCCTTTCCAGATTTGGAACCAGTCTATTTCATGTCCAGTTCTAACTGTTGATTCTTGACCTGCATACAGATTTCTCAGGAGGCAGGTCAGGTGGTCTGATATTCCTATCTCTCAGAATTTTCCACAGTTTGTGGTGATCCACACAGTCTTTGGCATAGTCAGTAAAGCAGAATTAGACGTTTTTCTGGAACTCTCTTGCTTTTTCGATGATCCAGCGGATGTTGGCAATTTGATCGCTGGTTCCTCTGCCTTTTCTAAATCCAGCTTGAACATCTAGACGTTGACAGTTCACGTACTGTTGAAGCCTGACTAGGAGAATTTTGAGCATTAATTTACTAGCGTGTGATGAGTGCAATTGTGCAGTAGTTTGAGGATTCTTTGGCATTGCCTTTCTTTGGGATTGGAGTGAAAACTGACCTTTTCCAGTCCTGTGGCTATTGCTGAGTTTTTCAAATTTGCTGACATATTGAGTGCAGCACCTTCACAGTATCACCTTTCAGGATTTAAAATAGCTCAACTGTAATTCCATCACCTCCACTAGCTTTGTTCCTAGTGATGCTTCCTAAGGCCCACTTGACTTCGCATTCCAGGATCGTGAAGATCTTTTTTGTATAGTTCTGTGTATTCTTGCCACCTCTTCTTAATATCTTCTTCTTCTGTTAGGTCCATACCATTTCTGTCCTTTATTGTGCCCATCTTTGCGTGAAAAATTCTCTTGGTATCTCTAATTTTCTTGCAGAGATCTCTAGTCTTTCCTATTCTGTTGTTTTCCTCTGTTTCTTTACACTGATCACTGAGGAAGGCTTTCTTATCTCTCCTTGCTATTCTTTGAAACTCTACATTCAAATGGGTATATCTTTCCTTTTATACTTTGCCTTTCACTTCTCTTCTTTTCACAGCTATTTGTAAGGCCTCCTCAGACAACCATTTTGCTTTCTTGCATTTCTTTTTCTTAGGGATGGTCTTGACAACTGCCTCCTGTACAATGTCATGAATCTCTGTCCATAGTTCTTCAGGCATTCTTATCAGATCTAATCCCTTGAATTTATTTCTCACTTCCACTGTATAATCATAAGAGATTTGATTTAGTTCATACCTGAATGATCTAGTGGTTTTCCCTACTTCAATTTAAGCCTGAATTTGGCAATAAGGTATTCATGATCTGAACCACAGTCATCTCCCAGTCTTGTTTTTGTTGACTGTATAAAGCTTCTTCGTCTTTGGCTGCAAAGAATATAATCAATCTGATTTCGGTATTGACCATCTGGTGATGTCCATGTGTAGAGTCTTCTCTTGTGTTGTTGGAAGAGGGTGTTTGCTATGACCAGTGCGTTCTCTTGTCAAAACTCTATTAGCCTTTGCCCTGCTTGATTCTGTACGCCAATGCCAAATTTGCCTGTTCGTCCAAGTATTTCTTGACTTCCTACTTTTGTATTCCAGTCCCCTATAATGAAAAGGACATCTGTTTTGGGCATTAGTTCTAGAAGGTCTTGTAGGTAGGTCTTCCTAGAACCATTCAACTTCAGCATAACTGGTCAGGGCATAGATTTGGATTACTGTGATATTGAATGGTTTGCCTTGTACATGAATGTGATAATTT